CCCCCCCCCCCCCCGGCTCAAACAGCATTGTGTGTCACAGCTAATATGCTTTTTTTCCCTGTTACATTTCGCTAACATGGCTGAGATCAGTTAGCATTCACTCCTGCTCAGGCACTTCTACAGAGGAGGTTAATGAAAGCTATCTGTGTGTGTGTGTGTGTGTGTGTGTGTGTATGTGGGGGGGTTTCTGGTGGAAACCCACACAAAACAGCGCACAAACGGCCCTCAGCGCTCGTTTGTAGTCGGCCGTTGTTGATCATTTTACTGGTGCTCTTGAAACAGGACATTGTGTTTGCCCTGGAAAACAAAGTGCTTGTTAAACAAAAAGACCCTCAGCGTGGAGAGCACAACGAGGCAAAAGGTCTCCAATTTACCTGCAAATGTCAAACAACTGGAAAGTGTAGATCATGAAATCGTTGCTCTCCAGTGAGCAGTGTGTGTCACGTGGGGGAAATACAGAGTTTACGGGGGTTGGTTCAAGCTTTTCTTTCCCCAAATTAAAGACCAGTATCTGCATAAAGAGAAATCATTTTCAAACATTCTGTACCACAAAATAGAAGGATTCAAAAGAACAGAAGTAATGGAGGCTTGTTAGGCATTGGTGATAATTAAAATTGCCATTTGTGACTAAGATGAGGATTTTACAATGATGTGAAATACTTTAAGTAAAGAATCATATCAGAAAAATCCACAGTAAGATTTTTACTCTTCAAAATCTGTAGGAAAGCATGCAACAAGGATTAGAATCCTAGTCATCAGCTGCTGTCTGAGTCTTTCGTGGTAATTTAGACGATCATGGTTTGCTGAAAAGAGATCAGTAAAAAAAAAGAAAAAAAAGAAGCAAGACATCTTAGGTTTATTGTCTTTTTGAGGCAGGGCAGCCATCTTTTTTTGGCTTTTCACTGCAGATTCATTAGGAAGTCACACGGATGTGTGGAGTGGGAAAGCTCCAACATGGTAAGAAAATCAGCCGTGGTTTTATGTAGCATTAAAGCAGAAGTCCTGCGTGATAATTAGGAACTAATGCTTGCTCTGGTTTGAGCAAATTGTACGGTAAATGAGGATAAGGGAGCTCCATCCTGGAGGGAGGTGAGGCTAAGAAGCTCAGGAAACCAAGCAAATGCCAAAGTGTATCCTCCTTAAGCCGAGCCCCAAAGACCAAAGAGCACACCAGAATGATGAGTTTTGTGTGTATGTGCGTGTGTGTGTGTGTGTGCATGTTGCCATATCAGAGTGAGAACCATAAGTAGTTTTTAACCAACAAATTGAGGTCTTTTTTTGAAAGTGAG